AACTAGGCAATGAAAACAGGACCATCACCTACAATGATGATTTGTTCTGAGGCATTTTTATGGCTGAATTATAAGAAGTGGATGTTTTTCTATTAACTACAGGGCAAGTACTTCTAACAGCAATTAATCTTTTAATTTCAACCAGCAATGTTCAGGCCCTGAGGTGTTTTCCCACAATCCTTTTATTTATTTACTTTCTTTCCCCAAAATAAGATGCTGGGGAACTATACAACATGCACCAGCAGCTTTTACAACGACACAAAATTCGTGTGCATAAGAGACTGCTCAGATCCACAAAGAGCCAGGCCTCACCCAGGCTGTTTAGAATTTTAAGGCTTTTTGTTGCTGTGAAACATTCAGCTGGTTAACCAGTTAACCAAAAACGAGAAGGCAGTTCAAACCCACCCTGCTCTACAGGAGAAAGGGGTGGCAGTCTGCTTCCGGAAAGATTTACAGCCGTGGAAACCCTATGGGGCAGTTCTACTCTGTGCTAAAGGGTCGCTATTGACTCGATGGCAGTGGATTTTGGCTTTGGATATTGTCTAATTTTTATAAAATAGCTACAGAAAGTGCAAATTTAACAATTTTAAAGGTTTTGTTTATCCAAAGAATTACAAATAGGATTTACCTATTACGTATACAGAAGCTCTTCAAGAGTTCTTCAGATAGGTAGGTTAACTTCCAAATTCTTTTTCCTGTTTTTAAATAGGAGGTAATATGATATTGGCTAATTGATATTCTTTATGAAGTGGAGTAACAGGGGAAAAATGAGATTCAAAAGACTTGGTCTGAAGAATGAAACAGACAGAAAAATGAATGGTACAAAATAAAGGAGTAGATCCTGCTGGGCACTTAGTGTTGCATTTTCCCAACAGAGATGTGGCAGGCCAAACAGAAAATGCAGACACAAAGCGGACCCCAGATAACCTTGGATTTCTAGGAGAGGACAATACCCCTTTCTCCTCTCCCAGTGACAGGATGCAAACATAAACATCTGCAGAGAAGTGGGGACAGATTTTACCTGCTCGTGGTGCCCAGGCTTGGCTGCAGGCTTGGCTGCCACTTGCTGTGACTGGCAGGAAGAGCAGAGATTTCGAAGGGGCAGGCAGAAGGCCCATGCTGGCTCCAAATGGACAGCACCCTGCCCACGGAGTAGGGCAGAGAACAGAAGACCTTGTCTGCTATGGATGCTGGAGACCTTAACCCTTTCAAGCCCTGTGTAAACTGCGTCACGAAGAGCCTCTGCATGGTGGGCATGTGGTTGGAGAAGCTCCGTTTCTTTGTCCAGATCCGGTAACCTCCAGGGGAACAAAGTGCTAGCAGCGTATGAAGGCCGAGGACAGAGAAACCTGCTCTGGTCTGGACTATGGCAGTGCCACCGGAGTCCTGGAGAGGAGCTGGAGGCGCCTGGGAATGGGCCTGACCCTGGAGGCCAGCGTCGTCCCTGAATGTGGCCATCCCAGAACCACTGTGTGAGGAGAAGAAGAAAGAAAAGGTCCACTTGGGAGACTGAGATGGGCACCTGGGGGCCTCTGCTAAGGCAAGCCTTGCTGGAGCACAGTGCTCGGGGAAGGTCCTGGAGGCCTCAGCCATGCAATCGGAACCTGAGTTCGCATGAAAGGATACCGGGAGGACTTCAGTACCCAACAGCAGGGACGGCATTTTGTTGCTCAGATCTATGAAGCTCATTTTGATGGCTTCGAGAGAATAAAGTGCCACAGGCTTACTGTTAGGCTTCTTATCCCACCTACTAGCTGCCAGATATGGACTCAGCTGCACTGTATTGTAAGAAAATCCATCCAGGAACCTTTTATATCTGAGCCGCTTATAGCTTTTGGCCACCGGAAGGAGTTCAGAGGAACAACGCCAATATCTCAGTCTCTGGGTTTTTGTTGCTGGGGCCAGTTTCTGGGCGAGGACGGACAGCTTGCTCAGTAAGGCTGATTCTTTGGTAGGCTTCCTGAAGTTCAGGCTCCTTGAGAGATGGCACGGTGCAGCCCTCTGCTTTGGTATGAGGCTAGCTGAGCTCCTGGGTATTACGGTTTCGGATTCCAATCGTGCAGGTACAGACACAGCACATGAACTGAGAAGTCTGGGTTCTTTTGTGGGGATGGTGTCTGAGGAGCTCTTTAAACAGGCAGAGCTTCTGATTTTACTTACACTTCTTCTCAACTTTACGTGATCCTGACAGGAAGCTCTCTTACACGTTCGATGGGGCTGCTTCTTCATGGGAAGCACCCCTTTCTGATGTGAAGTGCTCCCAAAGGCACCATGGAGCTGATCATACCCAGCAGAGTGGAGATCTTGTGCTTTCTGGGGGGTGCCAGGAAGGCAAGGGCCTGAAGACAACCTGATGTCCTTCTTCAATGGATGATACAAGCTTTTCACCTTTGGCTCTTTCAACTTCTGAGACCATGCAGCAAGGCTGTCCCTGGCCGGCTTTGCTGGGGGTATTTCCTTCATCATGGTGGACTCATCTTTGTAATCCTTGGGGGGCGGGTTATTTTGTACCTTAGCGGACAACATATTAGATGATGTGCTTTGTTTCAACACAGCATAAGCTCCTATTTGATGTATATATTCCTCTTCCTTCTGCAAAGGACTGTCCAAAACCCTCTGGCTGTGTTGTTCTTCAGCGTCACCAAGTGTTCTGTTGCACTTAAAGGGAGTCGGAGAAACCCTGCCCACTTTATAAACATAACCATCTTCTCTGCTCACCATCTCCTCAGATTCCTCCCCAAGAGTCAAGTGACCTAGTGGTTCCCCCTGCTGTTCCTCCATTTCTTCTCTTCTCACTTTAGCTTCGGTTTCCAACGTCAAAGGCAAGTGTCCATCACCAGGGTGACAAACTTCTGACGTGGCCCTTTCCACACTGATACCTGCACTGGCTCCTTCACTAGGACTACGGCTATCTCTTGGCGCTCCTTCCTTCATCGCAGGCAGGACGATGCAGTTCTTTACATTTTCACGAAGTATTTCACCATCTTTACGTTTCAAAAGATTTTTCATGTCCATTTCTCCACTCAGAGTTTTATAAACATCAGTTTCTAAGTTTTCCTGAGAAGGCAGGTGTGATGGCATTTTCTCAGTGCAGTGTAGGCTCCCTGAAGGAGCAGAGTCCTCATTTTGGCATCTAGAAGACAAGTCTTTTGAAGAAATTCCAAAGGAATTTTCCTTGTCAGACTCAGAATTCACTTCAAGTCTTGATCCTTTATGCATTACGTGTGCTTCTCTCAGAGATGCTCCTGTAACTGACTGGTAATGATGAGTATTATTTAAAGACACATTTACTCCATCCAATAGTCTTACATTTAGTTCATGATTCGCAACAGACTCTATCTCATGGGCACTTGAGTCTGTACACAATTCTATTTCACAATCTTTTAGAGATCTGTATACTTTCTCTTCACATAATTTTTTTATTTCAAGAGACTCCACTGTAGAAGAAGCAGCACTGGGGAAATCGGAGTCCGGGTCAATCATTCTTACCAATGTAGCATTTAGCTCTCCTCTCTGACACAGGGCACTCGGTGAGGTCTCTCGGAGAGCTGGTTTATCCAGCTTTACAGTGCTAATGGGTGAATCAGATGCCTTTCCGTGCAGCACTCTTTCTGCAGCCTTGTTACCATAGTCTGTGTTTGTGGAGTCTGCACAACCAAGAATATTTTCAAAGCCTCGTTTAAAATCATTTTTCTTTGGACTACCACAAGAGGGTGGGTGACTATTGTTTGAACCGACCATCAGATCCTCATGGTTGTGACTTCTGTCTCTGTTAGGCTCTGTGATGGTCTCTCTCTGTTCACGATCTTCCATCTCCTTAGCTGGTTTATCTTCACTCCTCCATTCATCTAGTCTGTTTTGGCTACTCTGGAAGTCAAGGACCTCATCTGGCTTATTATTCAGAGGTTCTTCTGCTTGGTTCATACTTTTAAAACTGGAGAACATAACATTAGGAGACTGGTCCATCAATTTTTCAGGACTTGGAATGTTTGCAGAATGGTTTACTCCTCGTGGAGTACAATCAGGGATGTTGTATTTACAAAACACAGTCTCTTTGGGTGAATCCTGTCCCTTTCCTTCTAGCCTTTCCTCACTGTTTTTGATGACACAAATGTTTTTGTTTGGGGCTCCATTACTTAACATCCCTACTGCAGTTTCCTTTCTGATCTTATCTTCTTGAAGGCTACCTTTAGTTTCTATCCCATCAAGTTCACTTTGCTCTGATGTGTAACTCACTTGATGGGCACTACTTTCCATGGACTTTTCCATTCTTTGGGAGTGGTGATTGCTTTGCTGAAGTCCATTTTCACATTTTGCTATCAAAGAATTATCAGCTTCCAGAATGATTTTGCTGGACTCCAAAGGAGTATAAGCAGAACACATGCCCTCTTCTGATGCATTTTTACATAAACAATGGCTACAAGTTTTATCCTGAGACTGGATATTTGGACATTCCATGACAGAGACCTCCTGAGGAACACCAGTTGCTTCATTCTTACATGACAGAAGCCTGGAATGTAGATCTCCTGTTCCTGAGTCACCCACTCCTTTCCTCCTTCCCAGGATTCCTGGTTTGATGTTTAAGGTGGAAATGCTGAAAGAGGCACCACAGGGTTTGTCACATGGTGGAAAGATGTTTTTCATTCTAGACTTCATGGGAATGGTTTGGGTGTCAGCAGTGACATCTGCTCTGTCTTCTAATGAAGGGTGGTGGCTCTGCTGGAAATGCTCACTTGGTGCTCCAGGAAGCTCTTTGTTTCTATTGTGTAGGGAGTCAGCTGGCAACTTCACACGGTCTTGAAAATTAAGGGACACTTGTTGATTTGAAACACATTCATTTGCTACTTGGTTTAAAAATAGTTCATCAGTAGAAGAAAGTTCACTCACCTCACAAGCAGTACTCTGTTCCTCTAAATGTGGAATATCATCATATGAAGTCTTTATAGTTTGTTCTGAGTCAGGTCTGTAATCACATTCTAGGGGTCGGGGTAACTGAAGAGTATCTTTCTTGGGTTTTGACACCACACTTACAAGACTTAGCCGGTCTTTTGGCATTATATTCAAAAGGGATTTTCTACTGAACAGAAATGTTTCATTTAACTGGGTGTTGCTTTCCAGGTCCCTTTGGAGGTTGACTAAGGAGTTTGAGTCTTTATTGTTACTATAAATCTTTTTACTAAACATATTGGGATCTATCGTGATTGTCCATTCTGGTTCTTCAATCTGCATCAATGGGGAAACTCTGCTTTCTTCACAGTGTCTGACTGGATGGCTAATAGTAGCAAAAGTTTCTCTGTGGTCCTCATGGTTTGTCAAACTCCCTTGAATGTGTGAAGTGATAGGCAAATCACTTTCTTTCAATATTACTTCTGTGACTTTAGTAAAATAACTGGGCATTAAGGAACTATATCTCTCTTTATGGATACTGCCTTGAACATAATAGTCATCATGGGTATTTTCTTTTGAAGAGTCAATAGTCTCTTTTTCACCAGAATAATGATCAGCACTACCATCCTCTTTTGGTTGGCTGGGAATAATAAAAGAGTGTTTCCCCCTTTCACTCCCAGGGCTCAAAAGCGGTTCTTCATTTTCCTCATGGGAAGCCAAGCTCTTGTTTTGATCATCCTGATCAAAGCAGGAAGTGTCTGTCTTTTCAGCAGATTGTTTCATCAAGCCATCACCGTCCAAACAACATTCTTCTAGGGATGATGTTCTGGATTCTAGATCAGACAGGCCTGATGTGAAATACGAAAGTTTAGAATTTTCTTCCAAGTGCTCTGCAACAAGTGCACTTCTCGTGGCCATGGGGCTGTCCTGTGGAGAACTTCTCGCGGCCATGGGGCTGTCCTGTGGAGAACTGTGTTTTTCATTACGGTTGCCAGGCATCTGCTGATGATTGTCATCTGCTTCACAGGCAAGGTTTACTTTACACAACTCTTCCTTCTCATTGTCCACTTTGGAAGTGGCACTGTTCCCTGGTAATAATGACAGTGAAGAAGGACAAGGTTTTAATTCTTCACATTCTTTTCCTGTAGAACTTGCTTCTGTTAATCCAGGGTCTACAAATGTTAAAGGCTCTAGGGAAGCTAATGTGCTGGTTTCTGAAACCTCAACACTGGTCGTGATTTTCTCTCCTTCTGAGTATTCGCTGTACCCAGCTGTGCGACCTCCACTCACACTGCCATGCCTGTGTCCTTCATTAGTATCGGTCTCAGTCTCAGTGACCTTTATACCTTGTACTTTTTCTTTTGCAGTGGATTTTAGCAGAGTTTCAGTTGTAATCTGTACATTTCCTAATGCACAAGAGAAATAAGTCAAATCAGTAAGCACAGAATAAAATATGTATATATATTTCTCTAACTTCATGAATTTAATCATGCAACCAACAGCAGCAGCAAAAAAAAAAAAATCCACCCAAAAAAGAAAATTGCACAGTTAATGCATTGTAACATTGGTTATGCTCGTCGCTGCAAAATATGACAGAGGGTCAAAAATGTACCTGGAAGAAACTGGTAATTTTAAACAAATGTCTTTCTCGAAACATTACTAACTTATGACTCATAGATAAATGCTAGACAACTAAATTCAACATAGAAACATATGCCTTACTCAGAGTCTGAAGAAGCATCCACTCAAAAATAGAGAAGAAATGCAATATGGTAGCTTACAACTTCCAGTAAGATGGAGGAATAGGCAGACAAGCAACACAGACCTCTTCAACAAAGAAAAGAAAAACCAGCTGACAGAGATACAGAAGATAATCCTGGAGCCCTGAGCTTTGAAAGAACTATATACAAGTGGATCAGGCACCAACTAGTGGAAAAACGTGAACAAAAACAGTGACTAGAGAGACGGTCGGAGCTGTGGACTGCCAGCTGCTCTGATGGGACCAACAGCGTGGATATTTCCAAGTGGTGTTGGGACCTGAGAATTAACCTAAAGATCAGCCCTGGTCACCAATGACTGCAGGGATGACTGCGCTTGTGACCTATGACTAGGAGGGAAAACAGCAAGGAGGGAGACAATCTGAGTTGTTGACTTTCTGCTGTCTGAGGGTGCAGCCATTTTTATTATTTACACGCAGCAGTCATTTCGGATATTTAAATTGATCGAAGGCGCAGTCATTTTGAATCTTTACAAGCAGCAGCCATTTTGGATATTCAAAGTGACTGAGGGTGCAGCCATATTGAATGTTTATAAGTGGCAGCCATTGTGGATATTTAAAGTGACCGAGGGTGCAGCCATTTTGAATCTTTACAAGCGGTGGCCATTTTGGATATTTAAAGTAACCAATGGTGCAGCCATTTTGAATCTTTACAAGTGGCAACCATTTTGGATTTTAAAGTGATAGCATTCTCATTTGGATTCCAGGGACCTAAGAACAGGCTCGGTTTGTCAAGGTCAGCAGGAACATATGAGAGGCTGACAACAGGAAAGGAGACAGGTGGTGAGTGTATAAGTGCTGCCAAATAGTGAATAGAGGAGCCCAACACAGTACCCTGCTTGCGTAAATAACATACAAACAAAACAAAGAAAATGAAAATCGTGGGCAAGTCACTCCAACATACAATCATCAATTAAATATAAACACAAAAACATCACAATGCCTTGGAGACAACAGAGCATCACAGTCCACACAAAGAAGCAAGATAAAGCAGGAGAAACAAGGGCCCAGGATACAGACCCAAAACATATCCCTGAGGAAGACGCAACATTGGAACTCCCTGAAAAGGAATTCAAAAGAATTACATTTAGAAATCTTCAAAGGATTCAGAGACAGATCAAGAAAACAGAGACAAAACCCTAGAAGAATTTGTGAAGAAAATACAAGAACAAAATGACAAAATAAATGAAAAATTAGAAATGATTCTAAATCTACAAATAGAAATCCAGAAGATTAATACTAAATTTCCAGAAATAAATAACACATTGAAAGGGCAAAGGAGCAGAATTGAATCAATGGAACACAGAATTAATGAGACTGAAGACAAACACCTGAATACTTCTTTGGAAAAAGATCAATCAGAAAAAAGATCAAAACAAAATGAAGAAAGCCTAAGGTTCATGTGGCATACCATCAAAAGGAATGACCTACGTGTAATCAGAATTCCAGAACAGGAAGAGAAAAATAAAACCACAGAGAAAATTATCCAAGATCTGTTGGAGGAGAACTTCCCTGATATGACAGATGAGAATATATCCATTCAGGAATCCCAACAAACCCCAAACAGGATAGATTCCCAAAGAAAATCACCAAGACATATCATCATCAAACTTACTAAAACCAAAGACAAAGAAAGAATCATGAGAGCAGCACGAGAAAAACAAAAAGTTACCTACAAGGGGCAACCAATAAGACTAAGCTTGGATTTCTCAGCAGAAACCATGCAGGCGAGAAGACAATGGGATGGTATATATAAAACACTGAAGGAGAACAATATCCAACCAAGAATAATGTACTCACCAAAATTGTCCCTCAAATATGACGGTGAAATTAGGACATTTCCAGATAAGCAGAAATTAAGGGAATTTGTTAAAACCAGACCAACCTTACAAGAGATGCTAAAGGGAGCCCTATGGACAGAGAAGCAACAACAGCCATCAACAATTGACCATTAACACACATGATGATATAACCCAGAAACCAACCCCGCTATGGACGTATCCAAAGTAAAGAAGCCTACAAGATTGTAAACAGGGAACCAGAGATATCAACTGACAAATGAGGACAACTACAAACCAAAAAGAGGGAAAAAACTGTGTCGTTACAGAACTTCTAGACGGTAGGGAAGTCAAGAGAACTACAAGATAGAACGGACGGTTCTCAACTTGGGAAGAAAACTATAAATCACAGGGTAACTCAAAGAAAAATGATAAACCCTTCACATCAAAATAAAAAAGAGGACCAGCACAAATATTCAACAAATACTAAAACAATAGCAACAAAGGAAGCGATAACACGATTCATAAATAAAATTAGCTCAGCATAGAAAATTATATGGAACAAAGAAATCCACACAATGAAAAAGCACATAAGAAAAATGACAGCAACAAATTCATATTTGCCAATAATTACAAATCTGGCCAGGGACTTATCTCCAAGATTTATAGAAAACTCCAATGCCTCAATAGCAAAGGAATTAACAATCCAATTGATAAATGGGCAGAAGACATGAATAGACACTTCACCAAGGAGGATATGCAGGTGGCCAACTAACACATGAAGAGATGCTCACAATCACTAGCCATCAGGGAGATGCAAATCAAAGCAACAATGAGATACCCTCTCACCCCAGCACTGATGGCAAGGTTCAACGAGACAGAAAATAACAAATGCTGGTGAGGATATGGAGAGATTGGGACTCTCATATACTGCTGGTGGGACTGTGAAGTGATATCACCACTGTGGAAGGCAATATGGCAATTCCTTAGAAAGCTGGAACTGGAGATACCATTTGACCCAGCAATCCCATTACTAGGTATTATCCGAGAGAGGTAAGGACCAGGACAGGAACAGATAAATGCACACTCATGTTCACTGCAGCACTATTTACAATAGCAAAAAGATGGAAACAACCTACGTGCCCATCAGCGGAAGAGTGGATGACCAAACTATGGTACATACACGTAACGGAATGCCATGCAGCACTAAAGAATAATGTAGAGTCTGCAAAACACTGCATAATATGGATAAACCTGGAGGACATTATGCTGAGTGAAATAAGTTAGTCACAGATGGAGGAATATAGTATTAGTTCGTTGTTGTGGAGGGTCAAGGAAGGTTTATATATGGAGGGAAATTTTCTTTGTTGGTTGCTATGGGTGGGAGGGAAGGGAGGGAACACTGCAAAAAATAAAATAAAAAAGCATTGACCCATGTCACCTTAGTTTTGTGTATTTCACTGTATATAAATTATATTTCAATAAAATACATTTAAAAAATATATGGTAGCTTACATTATCAGATGACCACATTATTATGACTGGAGCTTAGATAAGTCAGATAAAAGAACCTCGTTGAAAAAGAACATTTACACATAAAACCTAATACAAAAGAGATTAATTTGTTAAGTTGAGTACTAGTCTGGAACCCAGTTATCTGCAATAACCATAAAATGGATCATGAGATGATAATTATTAAAGGTGAATGATAAGTACACGGGGACTCAGTATACTCCTCTTTCCACTGCAGAATATATTTAAGTTTTACATAAGGCAACTTTACAAAAAATAAACAATCACTAAAAAACAAACAAATCTTTCCAAGCAGAATATAAATGTAATTCATAAAAGGGATTTACACTCTACTGAGTTGCTATGAAACCCTAGCTACAGATGTGTTATAAAGAAGTTCCCCAAACTGGTTAATTTATGTAAAAAGGAAAAATATTTCTACCCCTCCTCCTTTTTAAGAAAACAACCCCAAAGTTATCTACCAATATACAGACACATAAGCATGTGTGTGTTTATAAATGTGTATCTTTATGAATAGTGGTGAAACAGGCATATACTACTGGAAAACTTTATGAAGAACAGTGAAACACGGTCTGATACAGTTCTGGAAGACAAGCCCCCCTCAGTTTGAAAGGCACTCACAACATGATGGGGGACAAGCTGCTTCCTCAAAATAGGTCGCCCTAATGACGAGGATGGAGTAAAGTTATCAAGACCCTCATCTGCTTATACGACGTGACTCAAAATGAGAACAAACAGATGTAGGCATTCATTAATAATCGGAAAGTGGAATGTATGAAGTATGAATTTAGGAAAACCTTAAGTTATCAAAAATGAAACGGAATGCATAAACATCAGTATCATATCGACAGGCATTAGTGAACCACAATGGACTGATACCGGCCGTTTTGAATCATACAATCATATGGTCTACTATGCTGGGAATGACAAATGGAAAGGGAATGGCACCATCAAAAAGAATACTTGAGCATCTATTCTGAAGTACATTGCTGTCATTGATAGCATAATGTTCACACACATACAAAGAAAATGAAACTTGAATAATAGTCATAGTAATCTGAATTTAGAGACAATATGAAGAATAGATTTGACTTGTGGAACACCAATGAACAAAGACCAAAAGAGTTGTAGGATGGTATTATACACAAAGAAAGCAAAAGGTCATTAAAAAGACAGGAAAGGAAGAAAAGACCAAAATGGCTATCAGAAGAGACTCTGAAACTTGTTCTTGAACAGGAGTACCTAAAGCGATCACTAAAAATAAAATAAAAGAGCTGAGCAGATCATTTCAAAGGGTGACTTGAGAACACAAAGTGAA